CACTTTGGATGGGCTATCACCAGCAGGAGAGTGAATTTGTGTGTGGGGGGGTGGAGGGTGAGAAAACCTGGATTTGTGCTGGAAATGGCCCACCTGATGATCACTTTAGATAAGCTATTACCAGCAGGACAGTGGGGTGGGAGGAGGTATTGTTTCATATTCTCTGTGTATATATAAAGTCTGCTGCAGTTTCCACGTATGCATCTGATGAAGTGAGCTGTAGCTCACGAAAGCTCATGCTCAAATAAATTGGTTAGTCTCTAAGGTGCCACAAGTACTCCTTTTCTTTTTGCGAATACAGACTAACACGGCTGTTACTCTGAAACCTATATTCCCCAAAGGAATCCTCAAGAAGCTAATTAACTGGCTTTCTGACTGCTTTCCATTACAAAGCACACTGATCATAGGCGAGATCCGGGGGCTACATATAAAAAAAGATGTGTATGTTAAACACTATGTAACTGAATGAGGAAACATATAATCTAGAAATTCTAAAGAGAACATGACAGGTTTTGGAGTAGCAGCCTTGTTAGTCTGTATCCGCAAAAAGAAAAGGAGTATTTGGGGCACCTTAGAGACTAACAAATTTATTTGAGCATAAGCTTTTGTGAGCTACAGCTCACTAATCTCCCCACTGTATTTTCCACTGCATGCATCCGATGAAGTGAGCTGTAGCTCATGAAAGCTTATGCTCAAATAAATTTGTTAGTCTCTAAAGGTGCCACAAGTACTCCTTTTCTTTTTAAAGAGAACACGTAACATCTTGTACCTTATTTCAGTAACTACTGTTTCTTCAGAACATAATTATCAAGGGAAATATAAAAGGTCAATTTCATCCATAGTGTAACTCATTTGACTTCAGTGGAGTTACAAAGTGATGAATCTGATCCAATAATTTGGGAGAAAATTATTATTAATGAGACTCATTGTAATTGTGCATGGTGCTTTACAGAAACACCTCCCCCTCCATAAAATCCAATTAAAACCCATTTTGAAAAATTTAAAATATGAAATGATTGAGGGGGTTTTTTTGGTTGGTTGTTTCCCTCCCCTTACCCCGAGCCTTGTGAACTGTTTGGAGGTAAATGTCCCTTCCTCAAAAGACAATGATGACAAACAACATCTACAGAACAGCCTTTACTGACCATCTTTACTCAGGTGAAACATTTGCCCCATGTAACAGGATGGCTTGCCCATGAACTGGACAGCCTGGGGCTAAGCCAGCACTGATTACACAATGTGATTCACCTGGTAGGAATCAGAGGTTGCCAGTATAAAAGGCAGCAGGAAGCCGTAGGGGTGGGTAGGGACAGAGGAGGGGAGATTGAGTGCTAGACAGCTGCTGAGTGGAATAAGGTCTCTGTGGCTGACAGGAGTGTTGGAGATGGGTATGAACTATGGGGCTACTATGGTGGACTTTGTATTTGGGGCACTGAGGACTATTTTCAGTTAGGGCTATTGACCCAGTGTCAGTGGAGTGCTGGTGATAGTCCTTAGAGAGACTATATGCTGTTCCCAAGGGCTCCTGAGGAGAGGAAGGAGCTTGCTAAGACACCTCTGGCCATAAGGTGGTGCCTGGGAAATGGCACCCGTATTACACCAAAGAACTGAACAGGCAGCGTAAACATAAAATGGCTAAAAAGCTATGCAGATCACATTAGTGTGCAGTACACGATTGTACTTGTGTTAATGGCTCAAAGAGAGAAATCACAATTTACTTCCATGGTAGCTTCCTAGCATTGTGGCAACAGCATGACAAATGAAAGGTGACAATGAGAAAATTTTACATTCTCAATCTCACTTTCTGGTCTGCTAAAACACCTGGGGCATTGAAGCAAGGAGAGAAAACAAGCTGTGAGCTTTCTCCACCACAATCTATTCAGATTGCTCTTCTATAGTCACATGTAGCTCCCATTCTTTCTTGCTTCTCACTGAATGCTGCCTACCTCTCTTCACAGTGGATCAATGGTTCACTCCAGGGATGAATTTGCCTTTATATGCAAGCATAAACTTTCTTTTTATGATGATATTACATCTCCTTTCTCCATTAGTACAATTGTGAGCAATGCTCTTATTTCAGAAGTGCTGTAGCTCACGAAAGCTCATGCTCAAATAAATTGGTTAGTCTCTAAGGTGCCACAAGTACTCCTTTTCTTTTTAGAATGTACAATGTAATTCTAGAAGACTAATTCACTTGTCCCATTTATCACACTATAACCTCTCTCTTTCTTTATGTAATACATAAGTTCTTTTCCCCACACTTCTCAAGATACAGTTAGGTTTATTTTACTACTTGTTTTTCAGGCTGGAATAAAATAAATGCTATTGTGTTGTCTTATTAAGTATCATTAAACTTTGCCTTTATGCTTGTCTCAACCAACTAAAAGACTGCATTTGCTTTTGACATGTTGTTGTGCTTTCCAGACATGGTCATGGACCACTCAGAAAGCTGTATTTGTCCCAGAAGTCCCTTTTTAGCTTGGGGACTAAATCAGAAGTGTACATATTGGAAGTTCTGTTTTAGTCCCACCCCGTGGGCCAGAAGTCTGGTTTTGATGTGGAGGTATCTTTGATTCCTATAGGGCAGTTTTATTAAAAGAAGGGTACTGCTGAAGGTACAAAACTTAACATGTTGTTTATATTATTTAGTAGAGTTAGTGAATGTAGGTTGTTAGCTAAGGTTGTCTAAGCTTTTTCATTCCAATATTTTTAACTGTTTATGATCTTAGTCAAACTTTCATCTTTGAGTCTGAAAGTTAGCAGGTCTTGTCTGTCTTCTTTTCTTTCTCTTTTTTAAAGTTGGTATAAAACTATTTAGCCATTTGAGTCTGAAGGCAGTGAGGGGAAAATACACTTTTATATTATAGAAGAAAAATGCAGAGGTTTTTAAAAATAGCTTCAGAGACTCAATAACAGTTGGTAGAAATCTGCAACAGAGTGAGGTAGCACTTTTAAGTGGTCCGATCCAGTGAAAATTAATTTTGATATGAGCAAGTCATAATGGTTAAAAACCTATTTCACCTATGTACACTAATTCTACCCTAACACAATCTTTTTGTTTTTAAATAACCTTCCCACTGTTCTGTCACTTCTTCTTTCTTTTGCCCTAGCAAACTGAATGGAAACTTCAGTCTTTGAAGGAACATATGGAACAGCATTCTATATGATGACTGAAGACACCTATGGAATGAGTCGGGGCCACATAGGAAGCCTTTGATGTTTGAAGGTGAATATGGAATAAGGCAGGGCTTACGAAAGGCACACTCAGGTAAAACACCCTCTTCAGGACCCAGTACTCTACTGCTGTCTAGAAAGTAGTTCCCTATGAGTACAATGTACTTAGATTTGAAACATGATTAAAATCCACAGTAGTGCACAAATTTTCATTCAAAATCTTAAACATTTCCCCGAGGAGCCTTTCCCTAGAATCTCCTGGTTAGAGGCATATGGGGTGCCACCAGACTCCACTGTTCTGCTTAGCTAATCTGACCCACTGGGTAAGGTAAAGAGTCAGAAGGGGTCCTCTTTAATTGTACCCACGGGGAACAGAAATGTCTGCAATGGCACCATGTGTCAGATCTCATGAGTTAAGCAGAACTATAGTGAGTCAATACTTGGATGAGAGCTTGCTAAGTGGTTGGCTGCTACTGGAACAGTTGTGTGATTCAGCAATACGGGTGGCACTCTTCATTCTGAGTCACTTCTGAAGCAGAAGGCACTATTGGATGAGATGTAAAACTGAACCCCTTTGTTTATTAAAGATCTCATACCATAGTTTGAGGGCTGCTGACATAGGTGACTTAGTGTGTTTAATTCTAACTGTTAATTATATTCTGGTGATCTAAATTTCCCCACGGTTCTTATTGGATATATTCCCTTGCCTACAATTGTGTAGCTTTGCTGTGTGCTGCTCCTGCATTTCAGTAGTGGATGAAGTGATCCCTGTGAATAATTTGTATTCCCTTTTATAAAGGGCTTTAGGAGGAAAGGTGATCTTTAAATATGACAGGTTTCAGAGTAGCAGCCCTGTTAGTCTGTATTCGCAAAAAGAAAAGGAGTACTTGTGGCACCGTAGAGACTAACCAATTTATTTGAGCATAAGCTTTCGTGAGCTACAGCTCACTTCATCGGATGCATTTAGTGGCTCACGAAAGCTTATGCTCAAATAAATTTGATAGTCTCTAAAGTGCCACAAGTACTCCTTTTCTTTTTTCTTTAAATATGAGTATCCTATACCTGGTTTGCAGCCCTGTACTGATGAATGATTATACAAGAGAGAAATTATCTGGGGAAAAACCTTTCTCTCCTACAGCTCCCCAGAAAATGGGGCCTCTGAGAGTTGTGGTAATATAAACATGAAATAACAATAACGAGTCAGAACCCTATTCATTTCAGCGGTTCCCTCCTCTGTCACTATTCACTATGGCAGATATGATTGCTGGTTGCTATCAGTGAAAGTCTTAATGACCCTTACTCATGAATGGAGTGACTCGTTGTCTGTTGCTCTGAGAGAAACGGGTTGAAGTGCACAATCCAGCGCACGAAGGAGCTGGCATTAAAGGGCTGAATTACACGTGTTGCCCTTTTAACAGCAGCAACAGAGTTAATGCAGCAATCCAGAGCCAGTCGCTGTTGCCCTCGCATGCTAGGAAAAGGAAGGGTGGATTCATGAAATGGGGCGCCCAAGGTTTGTTATGGCTAGTGCCTGCCAGGTTTGCCCACCCCAAATATTAACAATGGATCACCCGTTAATGTAGGGAACCAGCATCTCTGGGCGGCCGCTTTCTCCCATCCCCCCTCTTCATGGGCTGGAGGCTGAGGAGTTGCGGAGGTCAGACAGCTCGCTGAGGAGCCTCTTCCAGAGGCGTCGCCGCAGGCTGTGCCGCGTGGGCCAGGGCTGCGCAGAGCCAGGAACTCCCGGGGAGCGAGGCGGTGCAGACGGCGGGGAGGCGGGAGACCCCAAGGCCGAGCAGCGGGAGGGGGAGGCGAGGAAGGGAGGGGCGGCTGCCTGGCAGAGGGCACAGCGGCGAGGACCGGCGCGCTGCTCCGGCGGGTCTCGGCCCCCGGGCGGGCTGGCGGGCGGAGGCGGGATGCGGTGCTGGCCGCGCCCGGGGCACTGGCACTGAGCGGCGGGCGCTGGGCTGCAGCCGGCCGGTCCCGGGGCCGGCAGGATGGGCTGCGGGGGGAGCCGAGCCGATGCCATCGAGCCGCGCTACTACGAGAGCTGGACCCGCGAGACCGAGTCCACCTGGCTGACGAACACCGACACCGAGCCTCCGCCGCCGGCCTGCGGCCACGAGAGCGCCCGCGCCGAGGCCGGACTGCGGGAGCAGGGCGCGCCGCACCCGGGTGAGTGCTGGGCTGGGCGGGGGGTCCCCGGGGCTGCCGCCAAAGCCCCTCATCTCCTGTCCCGCTCCCCTCCCTCCGGCTCGGTCCCCGGGGCGAGCTGGGGTCCCCCGCCGGCTCTGAGCTGGGGCGGGTGGGCTGCCCAGCTGTCGTCCCTCCGGAGCCTAGGAGCGGGGACAGCTCCGTGTTCGCGAGCCGCAGACCCCGGGCGGACCGGCAGGACAAGCGGCTCCGACTGATGCGCCGGGAACCTGGCCGGCGAACAGCGTCTGTACGCCGCGCTGCGACAAATGCGAGGGATTCGGGGAGATCGCCGGTTAAGGCTTATTACTCCTAGCGATCTGTGAAGTGTGGGCCGTTTCTGTCTCTCATGAGTACACCACGGTGCTCCCCAATTCACCGAGCCCCAGGTATTGGAAATTCCCGCTGAACCCTAACATCGGGCACATAGAAAATGTCCTCACTTATGTGAAACACCACATTTGAATCCAGCATCCCCAGGCTGGACGGACGAACTGTCTGAATCTCTTTATTGTTCTGTTAAGAGTTTAATCAAATGCGTGGACACGGGTTTGCAACTAGCACCAAAGCGGTATTCTATAGAGTCTAGTTCTCTTTTTTCCCTTGGGAAAAGATGCTTTTTTACGCCTATGCAGGCATCTAAGTCTGCACTTTAAAAACTTCGTGTTTGCTGCAGCAGCACTGCATCGTGTATCAAAAAAACCCTTCACTGGTCTCATAATTTCTTGTAGTTTCCAGTGGACATGGAAAAGGAGGAACTTTCACATTCCTATGCTTTTATTAGAAAAGGCTTGTTCTCTACCTACCACACTTTGATAATGATGCTTAATTTTTTGAGGGAGAACATATAAATGGCATTAGTTTTGTGATAATCTCACTGGAAGAGAATGTGACTGTATGGTCTCTTGGTGCAGAATAAATGACCATGCAAAACAAGGTATTAAGGAGTATATTTTAAAAGTGGCACAAATCAGCCAACCCTCCCTTCCTTAAAACCCCCATGAAAATAAAATTCCATGGACCATGACATTGCAGAAAATCAAGTTGACCCAACTGCTTGAAATAAGGCAGTTGGCCCACAATTTGACTTTTTATGTTTAAGGTTTGTCACATTGTTAACCAGCAGTGGACCTAAGAATTTACAGTGGGGAAAGACAGAGTGAGGGAGAAAGGGGAGGAGAGATTCAATATGCAAGTGTTAGATAAATTAGATTCTGAGGGCATTTCAATCTACCTATGGAATCATAGAGAGGAGAGAGAAAAAACACAAGTTATTTTTCTGTTTTTCTGTCAGTTTGGGATTGTTCATAGAATACATTTTTTTGTATTGTTGGAGCTCTGTTGGTCCCAGGATGTTAGAGAGACAAGATAGGTGAGACAAGATAGATCCTATTGGATCAACTTCTGTTGGTGGGAGAAACAGGCTTTCTAGCTCCTGGAGCTCTTCTTCAGGTCAGCTATAACTTCATACACCTTCTCTCTCTAATATATATAGTCTAGTGTTTTGTCCACTCAAGTTTTAAATGCTCCAGATGATGGAACTACCACTACTTGATGGTAAGTTCTTGGGGTGATGTGCTACTATGAGACAGGGTTGCTGGTTGCTGCTCCTAATACATTTTAGGTATTATCACAGTATAAATACCGCAATAATAATAATAGTTAACTTAATTCTATTGGGAGACTATTCCTTAGCTATATCTCACTGTCAGGAATTTTTCCTAATATTCAAACCTTGATTTTCCCTTTCCTGGTATCCTGTCATTCCTGGTAATACTCCCATGTACCACAATAAATAATCAACCCCATCCTTGGTATTAATAATACCTGTCAAAAATATTTTCAGAATGCTAGTACATCTTTCTTTCTCTCTGCCAGTATATTTAGCTCTGTTTATGTACTTGCACTATAGATAAATGTGTGTGTAGCCAAACCTATGATATTTCATAACATTTTGGCATAACTTTTTATTAAATAAAATTACAATTCATTACTGTATGTCTTTTTTTATCTTCTGTCCCCCTCCATATTTCATGTTTTCTTTCTTCCTGTTCTAGTTTTTTTCTTTAGATTATTTATCAGTCTTTTTACATCTTTTTAGCATGAATGTTTAAATAAACTAACAAAATTTCAACATCTCTGTATTTTTCCCCAAGAGTAAATACAGAACAATATTCATTGTTAAAAACCTGTAAGTGAAATACTGAAAACTGTAAAAGAACAGATCCTCTGTCCTCTGACCAGGATCATAACAGAAGTAAAATATACTCGGTAGCCATTCATGAAAGTCCAAAGCTGAGCTTTTGATAGCACCAAACAGCCTCACATATTGAAGAGGGAGAGAGAGATAAAAATACAGGTAACATTATGAAGCATTGCAGGTGTGAAATTGAAAGAAACCTTTTAAAAGACAAACTTGTCTAAACTTAGGGTGTGTGGTTTCCAGGAGTGGGAAATGAGAGTTTCTAGCAGAATACTGATAAGAGCCTCCATTTAATTGTAAGCTAAGAACTTGTCACAGAATCTTGGTTTCCCAAACCTCCGCCAATGCTCAGTCTACAGTTGGGCATAATAACAGTACTGTTTTCCCATAGAAGTACATAGGGCTTCATCATGCAACTCATTACACTTGGTTCTCCTCTCTTGAGTTGCCTCATTGACTTCAGTAGAACTACTAGCATGAGTAAGGGATTACAGGATCAGACTCAGTCACCAATAGGCTAATCCCCCACAAGAAAACCACCGGGTAAATAATTTTTGAATAACCACCAAAACTGTAATGTCTCAGTTCATATTTATGTATAACTTGCTGCAAAAACTATGATAAACATCTAGTGGGAATGTAAACAGTCTATTAACTGCAAAACACAAACCTCTATCAAAAACCCTTAAGAGTTCCATTAACTCAATTACAGCTGAAACCAAACTCAGTATTATTGCTCAGAAGTAGCTCCTTTTAAGTCATTCTATTCCCACTCTCTCCTAAATCAGCAGCCGTGTTAAACTCAGTTTTTGCTTATTCCGGAAGATGACTTTGACTAATAAAACAAAATGCTGCCTCTTGCTCAAAAGGTCATATAGTCATGATCTGTCCCTTTTGATTGACAGCTCCTCAGAGCAGATACCGGCTCTTACTATATATTTTTACAGCATCTATCACCAACGGGCCCAAATTTTGTCCGAGGGTGTTGCTGCATTATAAATAATAATTCATCTTTAATTGATCAAAAAACTTAACTTAAGAGCACATCAAGTAAGACTTCTTTTTAATTACTTGAGTAATTTTGTTGTTTGACTTGGAAAAAACAAATAAACCTTTCTGTATTAGTTTTTGTATACTTTACAGTTGTAACCTATCAAAGAACATTATCCACAGTATATTTTATGCAAATCAGCCTGACATACTGTAGAGCAGTGGTTCTCAAACTTTTTTTTTCATGGACCACTTGAAAATTGCTGAGGGTCTCAGCGGATCACATAATGATCTTTCCAAATGTTGTTTGTACCATTAGCTAACTATTGTAAAGCGCTTTGGATAAATGCGCTATATAAAAACCCCCTTAATTAACGGGTTTTTTGTTCTACAAATAAAAGCACACAACTCATATTAATATCAGTAGTCTTACCTTTCTAATGCAATGGATGTGCCCTCTCTCCCCCCCCCTGCAGCAGTCCTGGAGCTGGGTCTGGGAAGGAGGGCCATCTCTCCCTAGCAGCTGCAGCCCTGGAGCTGGGGAAAGTTGCCTCTTTCTCTAGCTGCTGCAGCCCTGCACATCCCAAATTGCCCCCACCCTCTCTTCTCACCCTACTGCCCCCTCCCACCTATTTCCCCCAAGACCACCACCTCACCTTACATGTGCATCTTCTCCAGGGTCCAGCCACCTAATTAGTGAAGCCACGCTGGTGCGGCTCCACTAATTAGATGGGTGGCCCTTCATTCTCTTGCGTGCGGCCACCCAGGTGCGCACCTTAGAAGGAACTATCTGCGGACCACCTGAATGGAGCTCACGGACCACCTGTGGTCCACGGACTACAGTTTGAAAACCTCTGCTGTAGAGGAAAACATATTCATGATGTTAGCAAAGGTGCCTACTCTCAGTGGGCAGACTTATTAGCAGAAAAAAGTATATACCATGGGCCAAATCCTTCTTCTGAAATCATTGGCAAAATATCCATTAAGCAGGATCAGGATGGGGCCCTTCATGAACTTGTTAGGGAAATTCCACCAGAATAATAGGAGGGAAAACTCAACAGCGACACAAAAAAATTAATAAATTAAGATCAGCTAATCAACAATATCAGGCTGGTATTTGGCATAATTGTCTCTATTTAGATGCATTTGTGTGTGTTTATGAAAAAATATTTTTGTTCTGTTGCATTTACTTAAGTAAAATACCAACTGAGAATGATGTAGTTGTTCTACAAATGTGTGATCACTCACAGCGCCAGGAAAGGCTGATAGATAGGCTGAGGATAGATAGATAGGCTGAGGATTCTTGGCACTTAGGCTGAGGATTCCTGCTCAAGAATCAGCATACTTGAAATAAAATAAAGGGGTTCAAAGCACTGGCCAATTTTTTTATGGAAGTTTCTGAAAGTTGCCCTTCCCTTGTGTGTTGCTTTACAATAGGAGAAACTGAAAGGAGTTGTAGAAAACCAGGGCTGTTTGAACACTAGTTGCCATAACAACAGAGAGCAGTATTGGTTATAACCACAGCTGCAGTCATCTGCTGTTCCATTGACCAGGTAAACATGAAATTAAAAGTTTAACGTGAGTAAACAACCATGAGGTTGCAAATGAAAATCTCATCTTGTGAAAAAGAAAGATGCTTTATTAAATCATTATATCTTTAAATATATTTTACAATAAACAATTTCTGCTGGAGAGCCCATTAATGCAATGTCCAGTTCAGTAATGCATAATAAGGGTATATCCATGCCGCGCTCTATGTTCTTATACCTGCCTTTTCCTCCCGCCCCCC